TGAAAAAAAAAACACACCCCAATTTGAGGGCCGAAGGGCCCCCTGGAGAGACCTGGATTCACAGCAAGGAGGCGGATAGGGGCCCATGGCAGTTAGGGGGGCCTGGAGCAGCTTGGGAGGCCGTAATCTGCCCGCACCCTATGCAAAAAAAGAACACACCAGCAGTGGTTGGAAACCTGAAAGTGGGACATGGCAGAGTGTGGCGATGGAGACAGCACAATGGGAGGCCGACAGGACCCATGAAAACCCCCCTGGACTTTTCAGCAGCATGAGGAGGCGGGTTAAGGGGCCCAGGCAGATTAGGGGCCTGGCGCATATGGGGGGCCCCTAATCTGCCAGCACCCTATGCAAAAAATTGAACACACCAGCAGTGGGGGAGGAGACCTGAAAGGGCACAAAATTTGGGTGAGACACGTGGACCTTCAGGGCCCCGCAGAGGTTTGGCCTTAAGGGGGGGGGGGCCCCTGGCAGTTTTGGGGGCCTGGCACACATGGGAGGCCCGTAATCTGCCCGCACCCATGCAAAAAAATTGAACACACCACGTGTGAGGAACCTGAAAGTGGCAATGGCATGGAACACTGGGACCTGGCAGCCCAGCTGAGGAGGGGGGTAAGGGGCCCAGGCAGATTAGGGCCTGGGACACTATGGGAGGCCCGTAACCCAGCCCCTATTCAAAAAATGGAACACACCCAAAGTGTGAGGGGACCTGAAAAGGGCCCCGGAAAAGTGTGGCCTGGAGACAGCACAATGGGGGGCCCCACAGGGGACCCCGAAAAACCCGGACCTGGCACGCAGAGGAGGCAAGGGCCCAAGATTAGGGCCCGGCAGCAGCATGGGAGGCCCGAAAACGCCAGCACCCTATGTCAAAAAAATTGGGAACAAAAACCACCCAGTGGTGAGGGCCCTAAAAGGTGGCACATGGAAGATTTGGGGGCGATGGAGACAGCAGCAAGGGGAAAGGCCTACGGGGACCCATGAAGACTCTGGATTTTGGCAGCACAAAAGAGGGGGTATAGGGGCCCATGGCAGTTTTAGGGGCCCTGGCAGCAGCTATGGGGGGGCCCGAAAACGCCAGCACCCTATTTAAAAAAAAATTGAACACCCCAGCAGTTTTGAGGAGACCTGAAAGCCCCCACATGTAAATGGGGGGAACAACCCAAAGGGACCCGGAGCCAGAAAAAGAGTGAGGGGCAAAGGGGGCCCCATGGCGGGATTGGGGGGCCGGCAGCAGCTATGGGGGGCCCCCGTAATTTGCCAGAAACCCCCTTTTTCCCAAAAAATTTTGAACACACCAGCAGGGGTGAGGAGACCTGAAAGTGGCACAGGGGGGCATGAGACACGGGGGACCTGGGCCCAGCACCCCATTGAGGATATCGGAAAAGGGGCCCATGGCAGATTGGGGGCCCCTGGCACAGCTATGGGACCCCGTAATCTGCCAAAACCCTATAAACAAAAAAATGGAACCACCAGCAGTTTTGAGGAGACCTAAAGTGGGCACATGTTTGGGGCATAAATTCTTGCGTTTTTATCATTTTGGGGGTCAAAAACCGGGGGTTTTTAAAATCCAAAATAATCCACGCCTGATTCTTTTTCACAAACGTGAGTCTCCCCCAACAATTTTTGGGGTGGACGGGTGGGTGTCCTCCCGGAGTTAAAAAACCCTTTCCTCCCCGCACTAAAAAACGCCCCCCAAACCCCACGCAAAAGGCCCCGGGGGCAGGGACAGCCTTTAAAGGGCAAATTCAGTTTTGGGTTGGGGCCAAAGTCAATTTTTCGTTGCCCAGTAGCCCCAAGGGGGAATTGTCTCCCCTCGGTTGGGCAGGGTTCTGTCCAAGTAGGCCCCCAAACCTGTTTGTTTGAGGTCCTGCTCCAGGTCCACCTGATTCCCGCTAGCCCGCCGGGGCCCTGGTTGGGATTTTTCCTCACTGCCCCTGGGGAAGGAAAAAACTACTCATCACGATTTCCCGACTGAGGCAAGGGCCCCGCTGGTTTTTAAACAAAACCATGCTCCTACCACCCCAACCCCCCCCCCCCTGCTGCCATGGCCCGGGAAACCCAGCCAACAGGGCCCCCCAGTGGGCCGAGGATGGACTTGGCGCACAAAGGCAAAAGACCAATTTACTACAAAAAGGTTGGGTTTTTTTAGTAGTTATTTTGGCCCCCCCTCAGCAGTTGAAAAAGGCCACCAATTTTTTAAAAGGTTTTGCGAGGGTCCCAAAAAGGGGACAAAACCAAAAATTTAACCCCCTGTCCCTGTGGTTATTATTCCCCTGTCGCTACGCAAACAACCGAAACATGCTATGGGCCCCTTTTTTTGCCAAGGAAGCGAGGGATCCTTTCCTCCTCTCCACAGCATACGCCACGGTGCTCTGGGGGCCCCTGTCCCCCTCCTCCTCCTCCTCTACAGATGCCCTGCCTTTCCCCCACTCCTGTCCCTGAGGGGGAAAAACCACCCATTTTACCCCCAATAATTTCCCCGAAAACACAAATGTCCTCCCTACCTCCCCTCTTCTCCTGTCCCCCGCCCCCACAGGGGGCAAGTGGCGTTGAGATCTTGCGCCAGGTTTTACCCAACCCCCGACCCCCCAATTTTTTAAAACCAAACATTTGTTTTCCCGGACGGGAACCCAAAAGGGAAAGACTCGTTTATTTCCCCTAGTCCCCCGCCCCACTCACGAATAAACGTGGCCCCTCAAAGGGCCTGAGGGAAGCGGGAGGTGTCACCATGAGCTTTCCAATGGCCCGAAAATCGAAGTTACACAGGGGGGTTTCCTTTATCCCTTGTAACATCAGGAAAAACGGGGATGGCCCTTTCGCTGTTCGTAAAGGCGGGCTAAAAAAGGGGTAGGGTTTTAAAATTTTCCCCCTTTTTGCAACGTCGGGAATCAAGGGGATGCGTGGAATTTTTTCCGGGGTTTCTGGGGGCCCCTGGGGGTCCAAGGGGGGGGTGCTTTGCGTTTTAGGAATGGCTGAAATGCAAGCAAAGTTTTAAAGTGACATTTTTAAGGGTGTCTTTCCCGGGATGGGGGGATTTTTTGGAAAACCGCTTGAAAAACCAATTGAAAAACGTGAGCCCTCCTGGCGCATGGCACAAAACCCTTCCCTTTACGCAAACAGACAAACCCTGTTCTTTCTCCAAATTTTCATTTTGCCCCGTAACAGCCATCTGCCCGATTTCTCTGTTTCATTTAAAACTGAGAATTTTCCCTTTCCCCTTGTACTACTTTTTCCCCCAAGGGGGCATACCAGGTGCAGCCGGGCATGACACCTTTTGCCCCCTTTCACATGTGATTCCCGTGGGGGTAAGGGGATTTTTGGCACGGGGGTGGCGGCTGGGGACCCCAAAGGAAAAAGAGGGGGTAGAGGCGGAAAAATTCTTTTTTTGGCCCAAAGGGAAACGTGAAAACGTGGAGGCAAAAGGGGCTTTCCCGTCCAAGTTGCGGTGCGGCTGTGACGGCCCCAAACTTTCCCACCCAGGGGGCCCCGTAAATGACATGTACTGTCCCTGCCCCGAATTTTCCCAGTTTCCAAAAACGTCGGCCCCCTTTGCCGTAAACCTTTGGCAGAGCCCGCATGCTCAAAGACTGGCCCACCATCTCTTCTACTTTTTGAATGCGGGGCTGGCATTTGCCTTTTTGGCGAAAAAATTGACGCTTGGCCTCTCCACCGCCCCGCGGCACAACCCCTCTTTTCTAAAAAAGGGTGCTGATTTCCACCACTTGGAAAGGGAGGGACTGAAAGCAAAAAACCCCTTGGACGGGAAAGGACGTTAGTTTTTCCCAACCCGTGGGGTGCTGCCCCGCAAACTTTTTGTCTCTTGGAAACGGTTTCCCAAAAAAAGACTGCGACGGAATCCTGAAGAGGATGCAGGAGAAGGAGAAATCTGAACGAGGGGGAAGATGCCAACGAGCGACAACCCCCCCTAAAAAAAAGCAGAGGTTTGGAGCCTTGACGGCTGAAAAGGGGGGAGTTTTACGTCGGGTGAGGGACCCAATTTAACGGAGCGGGTGAGGGAGGGGGGGGCTGGGGCTGGGCAAAACCCCGCCGTATCTTTATCACGGATTTTCCCAGGCCCCCAAAAAGGCGACGCTGAAAATGCTGACGCAACGCTGTAGCCCCAAACATGGGCCCCCCGGGCCACGCTTAAAACCTTTCTGGCCAAAATTGTCACATCCCGGTTTACGTTTCCCTCCCCCGGGCGCTTGACGAAAAATTGCCACAACACCCGCCGAGTAGGAAATTTTTGCCCCCGAACTCCTCACGGGCTGATGCTATGGCTATTCCTCGTGCAACCGGCACCACTACTGGCCGTTGGGGGTATGCTGCAGTGTGAGGCTGGTGCTGTACTCCGTGGCTGCGTTGCCTGGCCCACTGTGACACGCTGCGACACCTGGCGGCCTCCTGGCAGCATTCAGTGGGAGGCCGTGTACCGGGACCCATGTGTCACACTCTGGAACCTGGCAGAAGCATGACCTAGAAGGCGGTACAGGCTGCCCATGTGAGATCAGGGGCCTGCAGTCATCACAATGGGGAGGCCGTTATTCTTCCTCAGCCTCACTACTATGCCCCATAAAAATGTGAACACACCAGTGTGTGACAGGAGAACAGAACCTTGGCACATGGACCCAGAGATAACACTGTGGTCCACTCACCTCCGCCATGAGGCGTTCTGTCCGCCTGTTAAGTAGGGGCTCATGAGCGCCGATATCTACGGGCTTTTTAGCAGCTACCCACTGGGATGCGGGCCCGTAATCCAACACATAGCACCTATGGGGGCTGAGAAATGGAACACGACAGCATGTGGCGATGGAGACCTGAAAGTCGGACGATGGCTTGAAGACACTGGGGAACACGGGCTAGAGCAGCATGAGGGGATGGGCGGTACAGGGGCCATGGCAGAGTAGGTGCTGGTGCAGAGCTAGGAGGCCGTAATTGTGTCCTAGCACCCTGATGACAAAGTAAAGGGAACACACCAGCAGTGGTGATGGAGCGTGGAATAGTGGCACATGGGCACCGAGTTGTCTTTTGGCTGGTAGAAGTGTCAGAGGTGAGCTGGCAAGAGGAAGACACCGTAGCCAGGGACTCCTATGAGAGACTAACGTCAAGTGTCGGTGAGACAGCATGATGGATGGCACAGGGATAGCAAATGGCGCTCATGGCTGCGACTTAGCGCTGCCTCGATGCCGCTTCCTCTGGAGGCCACGTATCTGCTCGCTCCTAAAACATTGCCTCCTCTTCCACCTCTGCACTCCATGCATGTTGTCTGAACATACTCTTGTATTAAAACGATTCTGTGTCCCTGAGTAACAATTCTGTGTCCCTGAAGTAGCAAATCTTGTGTCAGTCCCTGATAACAATTCTGTGGTCCCCCTCAGTTAAACAAATTCGTGTCCCTCAGTAACAATTCCTGTGTCCCCTCAGTAACAATTTCTGTGTCCCCTGAGTAACAATTCTGTGTCACCTGAGTAACATTCTGTGTGCTGTGCCTTAGACGAATTCCTGTAAAGTGGCTGTTCCCTCAGTAACGACCTGTGTCCCTCCAGTAACAATTCTGTGTCCCCTCAGTAACTCAATAGACTCTGTGTCTTCCCTGCAGCTAACAATTCGGTCCTGTCATGGCCTGAGTTAACAATTCTGTGTCCCGCATAACAAATTCCCTGTGTCCCTCAGTCAACAAGTCTGTGTCCCTGAGTAGACACATTCTGTGTCTGTCCCTCGGAGTAACAATTCGTGTCTGTCCCTCAGTAACAATTCTGTGTCCCTCAGTAACAATTCTGTGTCCCTCAGGTAACAATTCTGTCTGTCCCTCAGTAACAATTCTGTGTCTGTCCCTGAGTAACAATTCTGTGTCCCTCAGTAACAATTCTGTGTCCCTCAGTAACAATTCTGTGTCCCTCTGAGTAACAATTCTGTGTCTGTCCCTGAGTAACAATTCTGTGTCTGTCCCTGAGTAACAATTCTGTGTCCCGCAGTAACAATTCTGTGTCCCTAGAGTAACAATTCTGTGTCCCCCAAGTAACAATTTCTGTGTCCCTCAGTAACAATTCTGTGTCCCTCAGTAACAATTCTGTGTCTGATCCCGAGTACAAATTCTGTGTCTTTTCCCTGAGTAACAATTCTGTGTCCCTAAAAGTAACGTTTCTGTGGCCCTGAGTAACGTTCTGGTCAGCCCCTGAATAACAATTCTGTGTCTGTCCCTGAGTAACAAATCTGTGTCCCTTCCCTGATAACAATCTGTGTCCCAAAGTGCCCTCTGCCTAACACGTTTCTGTGCCCCCTCATCTAACAAATCTGTGTCCCCAGTAACAATTCTATGTCTGTCCCTGATAACAATTCTGTGCAGTTCCCCTAAGTAACTGTTTCCTGTGGCCCTAAGTAACGGTTTCTGTGTCCCTCAGTAACAATTCTGTGTCCCTCAGTAACAATTCTGTGTCTGTCCCTGAGTAACAATTCTGTGTCCCCTAAGTAACGTTTCTGTGGCCCTAATAACGGTTACTGT